TAAACTAAAAGTTGTGTTCCCCACATTCAACCCACCAAAATGCCGGACTGAATGCAGAAATACGTGTTGGTGGCCTTTCTTCCACACAACACAAAAGAGGGTCAATGAGCAAAACGAAAAAGAGGGAGTCGTGCCGGCGACCTCGAGCAGAAATCCCAAAAGCACCAATTTGACCTCTTCATATTGCCAGACATTTGCATGTACGAAAAAAAAGATTTGCAAATTCCCCTTTTTTCATGGTTTATTCATCGAAGATGCAAAATCTGCAAAACTGTTTTGATCAAAAAGCTTTACTTGTTTGAACATTTAGATCATTTAAATGAAATAATTTTCCCAAATTTTACGTGCTTTCCCCCGCGGTGACGTCCCAAAATGGGTGTACATTATGTGTTATCAGTGAAATTCTGGAACAAGAGTTTTCCTCCCTTTCCACCAAAAGATCGACTTGCTCTTTCTTCTAGCTTCAAGAAGCTTCTTCTTGCAGCTGCAATTTGTTTAAATTCTAAAAAGTTCTTGACGGCTCAATTTATTGAATTTCTTATTTCTCAACCTACAATCCATCTACAATTTTCTCCAGAGATTCACTTTTTTTCACTTTGTTGGAGAGTGAAGTGATGAGAAGAAAATGCAAATTTCCTTCTTCAAATGCCTTTTTGTGATCATCGTGATCGTGCTTTTGATGAATGTGAGTGCTTGAACTTTTAAATTTGACAATCCAATGAAGTATTCTTGTTAAAACCTAAAAACCTAATAAATTCATTGAATGTTTGTAAGTTTACAGTCTCGCCAACATTTCACGACCTTCACACAAAGCTTCTTCATAGAAAACAATAAAAAATGTGGGATGCTCGATCACGTTTTTCACACGTACCAAAAATGCCTTGAAGAAATGGTAGGCCTTTGCTAAAAAACGCAAAAAAAATGTCAAGACTGAATTAAGCCACATTTTTTCTTTGAAAAAGTTAAAACTTCTTTTCAAAACCGTTTTTGAAAGAAAATTTTCCATAAAAACCTGCAAAGTCTCTTAATGTTTTCCTAGTGCAAGCAAAAAAGCATTTTTATCCCATTATCTATAAACGTTGCCTATTTTTAAAGAAAAGTTTTTAGTTGCCCAACAAGGATCTTTGGAAGAATATTACCCCAGTGATGGAAATGAAATCGGGATGAAGCTACTTTCCCGATTGTTGAATGTAAAATTCTTGAGAAACAAGGTCGCCAGATTTGCATATATGTTTTACAAAGTCCATTTTCTAGGATGAAGTCAAAAAATTCATCTACCCAGTGTCGATGGACGAGAAAATCGTCTCGATCTCGCTGGGGATCGGCAATGATAATCAAGTGGAAAAACAGCTAAAGGTTTCAAAATATTTACAAGGTAAAACATAAATGGTTCTAAAGTTAAAAATTGGGATGCAAGGTCGAATTTTAAGAGCTGAAACTTTGACGACTTTGTTTTATAAAAACAGAGTACTTTCAAGGACTTGTTTTGGGCATTGTCGACTCGAAAACTTTATGAAACCATTAGAATCAAATATGATTCTTGGTTATTTCATGAACCCAAACTCAAAAACTATTTCTCTTGTAAATCTTCAAAGATTTGGGCAAAATTTCCAGGAAATTTTCAAAAACATCGAGCTTTTCGGTGCGGATCCCTTTGAGGCGACAGCCGGTGTGTTCCGAGAGGTCGGACGGGTGGATCTGGTAAGGAATTTGACTTCTTAGTCAATCTTAGACATTTAAAAAACTTTTTGAAGTTTCTAAAAAATCTAAGAAAGCTTCTTTTGGATCGGAATCGATGGAAAAATCAATGGAACCGTGCTCGTGGACGGCTCCTACAAAACGCAGACGATCCCCTCGATCACTTTTGGGAATTACTTGAAAAAAGTGGGCTCTTGACGATTTTCCGAACTTTTCGAAAGAGTTTTGAAGGCTCATAACCTTTTCTGGATACTGGAGATCATTGCTAGCTGTTTTTTGTTTTGTGTTTCGAAGGATACTAAATAGAGATTGGTTAAACTACCCGGTTGCGAGAAATTAAAAGCTGAAGTTGTTGATGCGGCAGGGATCAAGTTCAGCTTTCAAGATCACGAAGTCTTTTTACTCGTAACTTTTCAGATAAACAGAAAGTTCATCGATTTTCTTCTGATCGACATCGAGGGCCCTGAATATTTTTCGTTGCCTCAGATTTTTGAGTCCGAGATGAGAAATGAGTACACGGTTTGTCAGGTGCGCTTTTTTTGAAGGTTCTTTTGAAGACCACGAACTTGAACTTCTTGGAATTTTCTGTTTCTCTGTAAAAAAGAAACTTAAAAAGGTGAACCTTTTTGGACCTTTTTGAGTTAAATGACAGCTGGTTTCCAGATAAACGTTGAGCTTCACGGTCCACTCAAGAACTATGGTGTTGATGGCAAATATTTCGATAAAATTGTGAGCTCAGTGAAAAGTTTTATTCACTTTTTAAGAAAGATTCTAAGATTTTAACTAAAAACCACTTTTCCAGATGCTCGCCTCCCTGAACTCCTCATTTCTTCCCCTCGACATCGAAATGCCCTACATCCACCACCAAATCTTCTACCTCAACTGGAGAAATCGAGATTGTGTGCAAAAGTTTTTATCGAATTTTTGTTCATAGCTTTTTGTGATTGGTAGAAGAATGAATTTCATTATATCTCTTCCTTTCGCTTCTCGCACACAACTTTGGTCTTTTTTGTGGCAAACTTCTTCCAAATATAGCATTTAAATATGCAAACCCATGTTTGGAGGCATGGGGCCGAAGCCCATATTTCTGCACTCAACGGAGAGTTTCTTCTTTCAAATATAAAGTCTTTGCAAATAGTGTTTTTTCAAAAGGAAAATATTTACTTTTATTATCGATTTCTACAAAAAGAGACCTCTCTACTCTCAAGCATCATCCTTTCTGCAAATGAGATGCGAATCTCGTTCACAGCTCAGATCATTCCATCGAGACGCCGACGATTTCGAGAACTATAACAGAAAAATCTCCTCTCCTCCCTCGCCTCTCCGCCGTCCGTCTTACAATTGGCAATACAATCGCTGTAGCTGTTTCCTTTTATCAACTAAATTTCTGTCTATTGGCCAAAGAAGTAGCTACAAACTTTGAGACAACTTTTCAGTCCTTTGTGGAAATCCCAATCATTCCCTGAACAAGTCGCTGATGTCATCCCTGAAATTTGGAGGCTTGAAGGCATTTGAAGGATCTATTGCTAGCTTTTAATTAACTTTGCTTTGAAATTCTTTGTCTATAAAGTCGTCATTCTGATCATTAAGAATAAGAGGAAAATTAGTTGAAAAAGACGAGCGGACTCTCGGTGTAAAATGGATAAATGTAAATAAGTTCATTCACTGTTTTGAAAACACAGTTTAGTCAAGTTTTTCGATGTTTTCTCAAATCTCAGTCTCAGCTCATAATCATTCTTTAACAACGAAATTGCCATTTCTCCACTACAAGTTTGTTTTGCCTGCAAAAGGTCCTGGAAAAGTTTTCTTCGCTTCTTGAACACAACCTTTTTTGTGGCAAACGATAAAAATCTCCTAATAAAAGGAAGAAAGTTTTGTTCCAGTTGTGCGACCTTATTTTCACTTTTTCTCCAATCGAAAATGTTGTCAACAAGTAAATTCCTGCTGTTTTCGGCGACAATTGGAACTTACGGTAATTTCCACTTTTACAAAAAGACAAAAAAGTTTCCTATTATAGTTATCTTCTCTGCACCCGTTGGATTGGATTTGAGAGATGATCGTGAGTCATATCATACAATACAAATTATAATAGAAGAAATTCCCTTTCTATAAGCTTCTTAAAAACTTGAAATAGCCACTAATCATACACTCAAAAAATAAAATCTTTAAATCTTTAAGTCAAATCGCTGAATGCGTGTCGAACTGACGAAGTGGAAAAACAGATCGAGGATGATTGCGGGAAATTGGAAAAGAGCGCCAGTTGCGAGTAAGGATTTTCCCTTATGGCTAAAAAGAAATAGAAAAACATGACTTGTTTTTAATCGATCAAATCACAAATGGAAGTTAAGCCATGATTGGGATTATTGAAATTAAAAGTTATGCAATTCAGCAGCTTCGGTAGCAGAAAGAGTTTTCTCGAAAAAATCAAAATTCGCCACACACTCTTGGTCGAATCTGAACTATTTTCTCAAAAACTTGAACATGAAAATAATAAAACTCTAGGAAATTCGGGGAAATCACAAGATGTACCATAAATCACCTCAAAACCCTTTGCCATATGGAGAACGCCGGCGAGGTGTTGCTCGGTGTCTACAAGCTGATTACACAAGAAGTTCATGCTGACCCGGTCAGTTACAATAGCAAAAATAGGGGTAATTTTTCTTTATCACAGGAACGAAAGAAATGCATTGAGGATTTCCATGAGTAAATATTGATGGTCAACATCTCTGCAAGTCATCAGGAAAAATATTTTTCGAACAGATTAATCTGAAAATAAAACTCTCTTATTCAATGCTGTGTTATTTTTGATAAATTGGTGTTCGATATTTTATCGAATTTTTGTCAAAATATCAACTTATGTAATAGAACAAGATAAAGTCAATAGAAAAGAGAGAAAAGTCACTTTTTTGGTTGTCAGTTTCGATCACAATCTGTCATCGTTAACGGCGAATTTTATGAAAATAAGGTTTTTCTTTATCCGATCTCCTCTTTTATGATTTACAATCGTGAAGTGTCAATAGGGTTGTTAAATGCAAGCTAAATTTTAGTTTATTGGCAAGGCTTGCACAAAACAAACCATATTATTTTTGGAGAGCTGTGAATCCGGATAAAAGAAATCTACGATAAAAAATCGAAAAAATTGGGAGACAATGATGGTGTGTTATTTTCCATCGTTTTATTTTCTCATTTTGCATTTACAATGATCCTGGAAGCTGGATTCTGTTATCTTATCGGGAAAGAAAACAAAAAATAAAGTTTCCTGGTTTCTGATCTCCATTGCTCTCGATTGCATCGTCACCCAAAGCACAGAGATCCCTCAAAAAACCCCCTTCCACCCATTTACAGAAAAGATGCTTGTTATTGTGTTGGCATGTACGTTGAAGAAAAAGAAACGATTTCACAATTGAGAAAAAAAATAGAAGATATCCGCTCTCTATCCATATCAGATCGACAAACCGAGATAAAATGAAAAATATGTAGAGAAGTTCTCTTAAACCAAAAAAATGATCTGGCAAATAATTTCCATCAAATCCCATTTCACTCTTTATTATTAATCATTTTCCCAAAAGTGAACCTCGTAAAGAGCTTTTTCTGTTGATACAACAAAAGTCTTTATTTCAGTGAAGTCGAATGCAATTTCTCCGTTCGATTCTCCTCGTTTGCCTCGTGCTTTCGGTGATTTCGGCCATGAGGTTCGAAGTTTTTTTAGTGTTCGAAAATCTCTGTTCGAATCGAAGAAAAATCCACTTATACATGTTTATCATAGTTTTTTCCATTTAGATCTTCGAAACATATGGACCTATCTAGCCGATTTTAGGCTTAGGCGCCCGATCCGTGAGGCTGACTCTGAAGAAGTGCATTTTCCGTCAGCACATAG